TATGCAACACACAGCTGTGGTGCAGTCAAGAATAAGAGCTTTAAAATGTAAGTGCTAGGAATAGAAGCTCCACCCTGAATCATTTCCAGCCCTAACACTTCTGATTTTAAGTCTACAATAATTCAGCTCTTTAGACGATTTGGTTTCATTTAGCTACAGCTGCAGGAGCACTAATCATGATGAATTTATGTGTTTGGCATTATACTAGCTGCTTCACTTTAAAGGCTGAGGAAATGTCTACTATTCCCCTTCCCCCATGCACACATACAACCTCACACGCTCTGTTCCATTTAGAGGTTAATTTCCCGAAGTATTCTGGAGTACACATTTACCTGGACTGTCTTAAAAATGTGTCTACATTACTGAGGTTCAGTGTAGGATTAATGATCAAATCCGGAGTAATCTGAAGGAGAAGGTCAACAGATTCAGCTCCCTTCCCCAAAACATTATACCAGCTTTTGCACAGATGTTTCTCAAATTACACACACTACATGTGTGTGTGCCTGTGCGTGTGTATAGGTTTATAAATATATATATTTATAAAAAAATCCCACATTGTGCTTGGTACTACTCTGTTCCAGAAGAAGCAAAGGTAAAAATGGAAAGGGAAGGGAGCAACAATTAAAATTTGGTTCTCTTGGTTGGATGTACATCTAACTCACGAGCCAAAGGTTTACACTGGAAACATAAAAACCAAAATGCTCTGTAGTCTGTCAGTTCTCACACGAGCTAGGAGTCTCAGGGGACTCTGCAGTAGCCATTGAACCTGACCTCCACCCAGGTTGGGTCATTTTAAATTTGACTCTTGGCACTTGCCCAAGAAAGGGAGCCATTCTGAGGCAATTTGCTTTGGTCAGGCTTCTAGCTCATTTTCATTCGGGGAAAATATCACCTAAGTCAAGGGGAAGATTCAGAAGGCACTAAAATTCCTTTTTTTTTGGTAAAGCAAACATAGCAGATGTGCAAATGTTGGCAGCAGGAAGAGAAAGAGGATATAAGAGACTGGGGGAGCTGTAGCAAGTGGAAGATGATGGGGACAGGAAAAAGGGGACATAGCAGAATAGGACCAGAGATGGGAAAGGGATAACAGCATTGGTAGCCAAGCGAGTACAAAATACCCCTATAGTCCTATATTCTTCTTCCCAGTGCATATACTATGACCTAGTAGTCCTTGCAGCATTGTACTTGCTTCCTCATAGAAGATGGGAACTGAAAAACACTCCCCCTCTCAAAAGGACCAGGACTGTTTCCTGCAATTCCCGTGTAAGAAGCTGGTCTCTCAGAAGCAGCATATCATTCTAGAGAGGTCTACGCACCAATCCTTTTTATTGAGATCTGACGTATGGGTCCCCTGCCTACCCTCCCTCCATCCCTCCCCCTCTCTCTCTCTTTCATGTGGCCTCTGTAGAGGGAGTTGAGATGTTGGAAGCAGACAGCAAGCACACACAGGTCGGGGTAAAGAGCTGAGAATAGATGTGCTTCACTCTTTAGATCTGTCAGGGGAGAGAAGGGATGAGAAAATTCTTTCTGAAAGGAATGGAGCAATTCGCACCTCTCAGAACTGTTGTTTCAAGCTATATTTATCTTTCAAGCCATATTCATCTCCATCCTGTATTCTCACTCAGCTCAGGACATCCGACTGTGATGAATAGGTCATTTCACACCTTTCTGAAAACTCTCATGTTTAAAGGTCAATTTTTTTCTAAGTGCTGTATAATCCCCATGCTTATCTAACTGCCTTGAAATCTGGCACAGTTACTGCAGGTGGTGAGTAGAATTATTGATCTAAATTAGAGGTCATTTGAGTCAAAAATTCCCAAGATACAGCCCTTTTTAAGAAAAATAGCATTCCTTAACATTGACCGATGGTACCAATGCTTCCTTTGTGCACACTTCTAGAATCAAACTCTGGCCAAAGAATCTCAATTGCTTAACATTTACCTTAGCAAATGAAAGGCATCTCCTGTCTCCTTGGTATTCAGAGTTCAGATATTTTCAAAAATTTTAGCTCTACACATGCAGTGAATTAAACGCTCAGGACTTCTGGGAGTTCCTGACCCTCTGAGTAGGTCTAAACATCTCCCTCTAAATAAAAACCGGGAAATCCTTTTCCTTAAGAGGAGGAGGTTATGAAACCTTCTTCCTGCCCATACTAAGGGCTTATGAAATGTAGTTAGTCCATTTGGAAATTTAAGAAAAATAGGAAAGGAAGAGGTAACTCATACCTATAGAAATAGTTCCAAATATTCCTGTGGTAAAGGAAGGGATAGATTCTACTGGCCAATGGAAGCCCAGCCAAAACTACAGCAGGGACCTCAACTCAATGAGATTATAATAACATCAACAGCTTGGAAAGAAAGTGTGCAGATATCTACTGTGCAACAGTAGTGATATCTGCATGCAACAGCAGAGCACCAAGTCTCTATCATACAAGTGGCTTTTAAAATACCAATAACTTACTGGAAAAGGAAGGATGCATAAACTGAAAATGGTGCAAAAAGAAGTTAGGGGAGAGGGCAGGAGACAGAACATATGTGTTTCCCCTTATATGCTTATAGTCACCATAAGCACTTGTTGAGATGCTAGGACATAGACTGTATCTGTGAATTTTTTTGACTGGCTTCATTAGCAGCAACACTCTCAAATGATTCCACTGCATGACCATAGTTCCTATTTATTTTTCTATGTATACAGAAAAGAGAAGGAACACTCAGGAATCACCAGATTCCTATGCATAAATGAAAATTCTTACCTCCTTTTTACTGCTCAGCCTGGTGCACCAAACAATAAGTTTGCTCACTTTTTCCACTGCAACAGCACCACCACAAAAAGCTTCTCCACCTCAAGTCAGATGTCACCTGCCTGATGCAGCATCAAAATGAGACATGGAGGAAGGGCCTAACTAAATCCTTACAAGATTTTCATGTTCCTTTTTGCCTTTCATCACACGAAGGAGGGGTTCATCTCAACAACAAATATGGTATCATGATAGTAGATCTCTCTGTTATGACAATCACAACTCTTCTAAGCTGCTCCAGCTAATGTCTCCACAAATTCACTGTGAGATGGATAGCAGGGTAGATAGAGCGAGTGCAACTGGCAGGCCTGGTGGTGTTTGTTACCAACTAATGCACCTTAAGCCTATATTTTCTGTATTATGGAACCTGCAATACTATCAAGCAATCTGTATTTCAATTAGGGTCTTTTTCAGTGAAATTCTATCATTACTATTTTATCATTTCCCTTCATTTCTCAAGGGATGACATTTTTCAGCACTGACAAACTGTTTGTTTAATTCTCTAAGTAACTACATCAAAAATGAACCACATAAAACTTTACAAACAACAGTGCATTAGTGAATAAAAGCAAAATTACCATGGAATGTGTATGGAAACATATTCCACCTCCACTAGAGTGCCAAAGATGTTTGTTATAGTCAGCGTTTCAAAACTGAATGTCAGATGAATTCACAATAATATGATATAACAGGATACTACTGGAAGCATCTATACCAAAAACGGGTGCATAGTCGCATCTGCACTTGTATATATGTTGCACAGAAACTCAGCTTAAATGAGGCTAACAGAATAGAACATAAACTCTGACAGAGGAGATATAAAGCAGTAACAGAAATAGCAATGAGGTAAGATGATGAACTAATAGTTATATATATATATAAACAAATTAGAAATCTGGTGATCCATTCAAAGAACAACTGTTCCTTGAACTTTAGCGTCTTATTCAAATATTTCACCCATGAAATCTGCATTCAAAATTAACCACAAGCAAAAAGCTGTAATTGATCTGTGGATGGCAAAACAGCACTCTCCTAATGGGTGCCAGATTAAGTCAGATAAAGGCCATCATGAATGAAATGAACTCCAAGTAACAGCTCTACATGAATCAACTTGGAAACTAAGACTAAGTCTCAAAAACATCACAGCTCAGAAGCAGGGTAAAACATAATTATTCCCTTTTAAGGGCTTAACAATTATAGGATGAGTGGGTTCATCTATGCTATCACATTACATTTGTAATAGGAAGCAAAAGATGAGCTCAAAAAATTCATAATGCATAGTTTTTTCATTACCATTTGAAATTCAAAGTCACCTTGGATTTCAATATTTCATCAGGAGCAAGATACCTGAAAATGGACAGGTAAGGCAAAGACAAAAAGCGCAAAGAAATAGGAAGAGGCAGAATCACTCTCTATATATTCTTTAATGCAAGGTTATTCCAGTTCTCAGTCTCCAAAAAATGTGTGGAGTTGGCAGGAGGGGAAGGGATGTAGTACTGAAACTGCGTTCTCAGATGAAATGAGGAAGCAACTGACTTAATGCTCCCAAGTAAACAAATAATCTATCTGAACGATAATCATTACACATATGTTAACAAAGACTCATAGATGCCACAGCTTTACAGTGTCAAAATAATAGTATGACTTTTCTTGAATCGTTGACAGCTCTAGACATGATGCCTCCACTGCTCATCCCCAAAAATGTGAAGTGGTGCTGAAGCTACTTGTGGGTAGCTTTACACAGATTCATCGACAGGTTCATAGTCTTAGCCAGAGCATGACATGACGTAGCTGGTCCTGGCTATTTTTTTTTTCTTATGTGATACTAACAAAGGAGGATTCCACAGAAATAATGTCTTCTCAAACAGAATGAGGAAGATAGTAACTAAGTCATTTTAATACCTCAAATAAAAGGTTCCTGAGCTTTCTCTTAAATAATTTTACATAAGGTACTTAGGAAGATGATTCCCATGCAGAATAGTAAGTACACGCCTTTTTACTTCAAAAGGTAGATTCTGGGGCTCAGAGTATTGCAAAGAGAACAAGCAGTGAGGGAGCTGCATCAAGCAGAACTCCCTTGGATACAGCAACTGTCAGTGAAAATAAAGTATTTGAAAAGATCAAAGTAAAATTTTCACATGGTGAGAACTTGACCATTTTCATTAACAGACTAAATGTCATTTTTCCTTTTTAATGAACATACCGGGTTGATAATATTTCAATAAGTTCTCTTCTGTTCTGGACTCTGAGTGTATTCGTTTTGTATCTGGAATCCTTACCAACTTCAGGCAAATTCAGGATCTAAGTAAAAATAAAGGTGCGAAATGTGCTTGTCAGGAGATCATTTATAAAGCTAGGAAAACTCATTATCAATTTAAGATAGCTTTCCAAATAACCCTACCTCTCATTAATATTTTAATATAGATTAGGAAATTAAGAAAATATAATGCTACTTATTCAGTGTTATATAACAATTACAGAAAAAGAGAAATTAAACTGAAGATCCCAATCTTATTCCATAGCTTTTACCCTTAGCCGGAAAAGACTCTTGTTATTATATTGCAGAACATTACAAAGACTGTAAATTATTATCATGAGGTTAGAGAGATCTGTGGGATTATACTGCACTGAGTTATATGTCACAGAATAAGAAATACGACTGTACTTGATGTTTATACTAGACTGAGAAAACTAAGAATATCTAAGAATATTTATTTTCCATTTGAGCAATTTCTGTCAAAAAGACAAAAAAATGGAAAGGTGTTTTTCTACTGAAATGTCATAGTTTGTCTTTATGATTTCTTCAGAAAGAATTAATAAAGAAAATTGGTGGTATAACCTCTCAGAGAGGAGAAATATATCTTCTACGTGTAACTCCCACTTGGCATGTTAAAAATTTAACCATCATGCAAAGACAATTTGAGCTAGACCATAAAGGGAATTAAATGTGGAGAATGAGTCTGGGAGTTTTATAGGGGCATTTATGAGACAGATTAGCCACGCAGACAATCAACATTTACTATATATCTATTCGTGCCACAATGTATTTATACAGAACATAATTAAACAGAATGAACTGTGCTTCCTAAATTTAGTTAAAAAAATCCCAATAACATTAGCTACTGAGGAAGGCAGAAAAGAATCTTAGAAAGAAAAAGATTGTAATGTATTCTTCATGTATTTTTACTCATGTTGCTTAGGCTAAGTCTTATAATCATTCTAAACATGTTACATTTCTTACAGGGCCATTTCTAAGATGGTTTATAAGAAAAACAGTACTAGCTTAACACTGAAGTCCCTATAGCCCATCATCCTATCTCAGCCAGTGGTTGAGTGCTGATGCTTAGGAAGAGTACAAGAACAGGGCCAGTGCATAGGATACTTCCCTAATACTCATCCAAACTCCACCCACCTGTAGATTAAGGCCTTTCTGAGCTGGAGGTTGTTTCTATGTATTTAGCGACCCTCAACGGATTTCTATTAACTTGCCCAGTCATCCTTTGAATCCGTAAACCTATCTACTGCAACACATAAAATACACAGATTGGTGTCAATCTCTCTTGAATTTGCCTCAAATTTAAAATTCTACTAATCCCCTCGCAATTGGTTCAGACCAAGGTAACCTATCATTTAATGACTGCTCAGTTTGCTGGTGTGAACAGATATGGCCTTAGTTAACTGCCAAGTGAGTAGCTGTTGATGTCTTAAAACCATCAGCAAAACAGACACTCACCTAGAGTGACAAAAGTAAGCACTGGAAATCAAAGTATCAACAAAGTTATGTTAGGACAATGATCATATTAGAAAACTGTAGAAAAGTTATGTATCTGCAAGGTAACACAAAACTTCAGATCTAGGATCTTCCATCAACATTTAGTTCAAATGCATCCTTTCTTTTCCTTTAGGTTTACATAATCTACCATATGAAAAATTATATCTTATCACAATCTAGCTTTAGAAAATTTTCTTTTCTTATCTGAAAGTTTAACAATAAAACCTGCACCACCTTAAAATTATTTCCTCTTTGTAGCACTGTCATTTGGGGGGTTACAAATCACTGCTTTAGAAAAAAGATCATGCAAGGCTGTTCAAAATAAATGATCTAAGTATTTATTTATGAGAGCTGAGAAATTCAACTGAGAAATTCATAAGAAAACTGTGGTTCCATTTGATGTTAGATGAAAAATGATCATATGGAGTTGCTCACTATACTGTTTTAATTAACATTACTGATTTCAGCTTTAACTCAATGTCCATCTGTTTTAAGGCCGCATGCCTATATATGTTCCTACAAATTTTTTGTGACTAACAAATGCACGTTTGAGAAGACATTCATTAATGTGCCGTTCATCTTTCTGCATCATGCTGCCAGTATCATTTTCTTTATTTCGCTGTGACCATTTGGAACAAAATTGTTGTTCTCCTTTTCTAGGTCCTCTTTCAAGCTTAATTACAGTACGGTTGGCATTTACAGTACACATCTAAGAATGCACATTCAGAGTTTATGCTCTCTGCATTTTTCCCCCAACACAAGCAAAATTGTTTGTGTTCTCCTTTGTTTTACAGAAAAGCACAGTTTCTGAAAACTCTTTTTCAGTATTCCCACTTAGACTGAAGCAGCTACACTTCCGGATGTGTTTTTGTAATACTTTATCGCTACGAAATGTGTTTCAGCCAGTAGTGCCACAAAGTTTTTAGCAATTATCCAAGTCCCCAGAGGAGTTACAGTTAGTTTTTCCTAGTTTTTAAAATATCTCAGTGAATTATTTAAGTTTTTTTTTAATCTTGCTTGCTAACTGCTTGTCTGAAAAGATATGGTTGAAGCAGAATGTTTGCAATTGTTGATAGCTTCAGCCAGCTGTTATATCTCTTGAGTGTCTGTCTTCAGGGCAACAGCTTCCATACATTCCATATTTTTAGTGCCAACGCATCTTAAAAAGGTTACCTAATAGCAATTCCAGTGTTTAAGTTAGTGTTCTCTGAATTTACTAAAGGTTCACTAGGGTGTTGAGAGCCTTCCTGTAATCGGAGTGTTCTTACGTTGACTCTTGCCCTTTACTATGTTTTCAGTTACAAATCACCTTCAACAACACAGAAGTTCATGGCATTCCATTGACTTCTGTGTTACTCAATTTCTCGGCAATTTAACAGCCCAAATCCGTGTGTATGATAATTCGATAATGGTAAAACTACTATTCTTTTTAAGCTGGTTCACAGAAAAATCCTACCGTTACCCAAGACTCGGAACTAATTTTTCTGGGCTTTTACTCCCCTTGACTTTTTCCCATGTTCTGTAACTCCTACTTTCAGTTCTAGAAAAATCAGAACATGTTTTTAAGGATGAAACAATAAAACAGAGGCCTGTATTCATCTCACTTCATTTTAGGCTCTTCATATTCTGAGATAACCCAAATCACAGGTGCACTGCCTCATATTCTGGGGTACTACTCACTCCTTACTGATTACAGAGGGAGTAAGTAGCAACAAGACTCCACTGTACGTCTCTCAGTTGCACCCTGAAGTTAGGCAAATGCATGTTCAGGGTTTTTAGTGACTTCTAGCCCTCATCACAGTGTCAGAACCTACTGAGCAAGATCTTCAGCTGTGCCTTCCTCCAGGATGGCAGGACAACCAGCATTTGGTGCATAATTCTTCATGTGATAAAGCACCAAGATGACATTGATTGCACTGTTCTGGGGCTTTCTGGACAGTCTTCCTTTCCGGGACAATGGGTCTTTGATAAAACAGAGGTGTGGCAGCTAGACACTTATTTAGTCACTAATCTTCATTCATGTTAATATAATGACCATACTAAAGTGGTTGGACACCGGTATGAAAAAAAATGCTGAGCTGGCCAATTTTGAAGAGGTTAATTTGTTACTTATAATTGAGAGAGCCAATTCAAGCAAAAGAAAGCAGACCTCTCCAGGGAGGGGTAGGTGGTGATATGTAGCCCCAACGGCATTAAGAGATAAGAGAGGGTCAAATAATCACAATTGCATCGTGTTCTTACTACATTTTCCAGACATTACCTGTGAACATCCATGGAAATATTAAATGTCTGACATGTACAAATGGCTGAAAATAATGTTCAATTTCCTGAGACTGCCAGCTTATTTAGATTGTGATTAATTTATGCTAAATATCCAAATTTCAAGAGAAAAAAATATAACTGTAGGTAAAAGGTAGAACTCACATTTTAAAAAATGCTGTCTAATACTATATATAGAACTTTTCTTGTGCCAGTTAACATTTTAATGGGGTCTTTTGTTTGGTATGTGCTACACTTTATTTAGGAACAATATAATCATTGTCATGAAAAAGCAATTCCAGGCATTAAAACAATAGGAAAGAGTATGTGAATAAAACAAAACCATTTTATAATTTTTAAGCTATTCTCTGTGAAAACAGAATTGCCAGAGAAGAGTGGTTCCTTGAGTCCAAAATAAAGACTATACGGGATTTTTAAAAGAAGTAGTCCTGTTGAAGCTTTGTTCTTCAATGACATATCTCTGCACCACAGTTAAGTGGGGCCACAGTCCTGTAATATTTCTTTTTTAAGAAGGCTGCAGGTGTCCCTGTGAGCACAGACCAGCACATTATAGGGTTCCAAAGGTCTACACATTAGGCTACCAATTGAAGTGGTGAAAGAACCATCCACCCCCTAACTCTACTACGTTCATAACAGTGTCTTACCATGGATTTTATGGAAAAATATAGTGTCACATGTAAGTGTGACATCCATGACATTCACCAGCTCCAAAACTGGGAGGTTGTTAGTTTATTCATTTTTTAGCAAATAGATCCCTTGCAGCCTGACTTCCAAAGGGGTTCAGCACCCACAACTTTCACCAATTTTAGAATTAGGGTATTCTGAATATGCAGGCAAATCATAGCACCCATATCAATCCCCTGAACTACCAGCTAGAACCACATGGTTTATACTCACCACTTACTTTCATAACAAGGGAGAATTAAGAAGTAATCAATAAACTATTTCTCTAGACAGAATAGAGAACTATATCAACTATACTACTATACTACTGCTGTATTGTCAGTCTAGAACACCCTTACCTTGCACACAGTAACAAACTGCTGATCATTTCCAGCTCCTACCACAATGTAGCCATCCTTGGTCTTAAAAGCCTAGAACAAAGACAGGTTATAAGCTGTGACTAAAATACAAAATATGAGCACATCTCTCAGGTGAAGACATTGTAAATAAAGTTCAACTGCCTTCCTTAAATAAATATTTTAATTCAAACTAAATCTCTAGTTCAATAAAAGTGACTCAAAGTCATCCACAAGGAGGAAATGTCAGCAGTTTTAAAGAAAGTGGTCCTTTTGATTCTTCTAGAGTTTAGAACTTATTTTCAATCATAGTTGCCCAAAATGTGGCCTGAGACATCTTGGAACTATTTGCAAATGTGACTCTCACTCACAAGGACTGAGGACAATTTTACCAGGATAACATTTACTTACTATAAGTTATTTATTCAGATTCACTCTTTGCCTGATTGAGAGCAGGGAGCTGTACTAAGGTGAGTGAATCCTGAGTAATCCTGAGCGAATATGCCAGCCACAAGGCTACAGAGTATTCTGAGAAAAATCTTCCCTAACTCCCTGGCTGGAGCTGCTCCACTTTTTATGAAATATTTTTACACTCAATAACAGGAAAGAAAGAGTGAGAATAACTCTCATAACTCTCTTCCCTTCTAGTTAGCTGGCCCACCTCAAAGATGGGGATCACAGCATCCAATCCATATACCGATGATTGTTTCATTACATATGCAAAATGGAATCTCTTAAAAAACTGAAGACAGTCTGCCCTACAATATCCAATAGCATGGACATGGCAGGCAATCTAAGGCAGATGGAAGGGATATCCTGCATCTTCCAAGCTCCTCAGATAGAGATTAAACTATTTTTAGTCAGTGTTCTCAAGACCGATCTCTCGAAGAAAATGGAACTATCTTCTTTGTCCAGTTTTGAGTATTCAGCTTTTCATTTCTTTTAACTTCCTTACAGTGGCCTTAACGGCACATGCTATGCTGAACAGAACATTTCCCTGGATGGAACCAAGAAAATCTATTATTGGCATGATCTAAGATTTTTAGCATTATGTCAAGACATCTTCTAAAACGGGATAATGCAGACAGATTCCTCTCTCTGCTACACCTCTCCCTAACACAAGGGTGTGGAGCTGGGCTTTCAGTCACATGCATTACAACTACAGTTTCTGCAAGCAGCCAGGAAACTCTTTCACTATTTATTTGACTTCAATGCAAAAGGCCAGCACAGGCTAGTGCACTGATGGCGACTATGCCTTACACTAGTCTCTTGCAGAGAATAAACTTCATCTTGCATTCTCAGAAATCAGTCTTCTCATGAGCTATCAGCACCTGAACTAAAGGTAAGAATTTTTATTATACATTTTGGTAAAATAACATACAGATATAAGCCCTGATGTGACTAAGATTTAAAAATAAAAAGTCATTTTCCACCATAGTTACAACTACATCCACACTAGGAATACTTTACCATCTTGTATATTCAAAGCTTTAAAATTGTATGCACAAAATTATGCACACTGAAACGTGAGTAACTATATTATATTTAGAATATCATTTGTTCTCTGTCTCTATGCTTCTCTAGAAAATCATTTCCTGATAAATACTACTGGTCAAAGATAAAGTTTAGGAATTTATTTTTCAAGTATTTAATTAACCACTTGAGTCTGAAATTCTTAACCAATGAAGAGCAAACTCAGCAAGCATTTAGTCCCAAGCATGCAAAAAAATATCCCATTGATTCGGCCCCAAAACAGTAAAAGTCTAAAAGCATGCATAATATACAGGTACTGCATACTCACACTGAGGAAAGCAACGAGCACAGAAAAATTCGGGGAAAAGAATACAGAAAAGAAAGTTGTATGTGACTGCAAAAATAATAAACTTTTTAGATACATTTGTTCATGCAAATTTCTGTCTAAAACGAACATGACACAGCCCAATCTAAGACTATTTAAAGATACCACTTCTTCAGAACAAAAATTTCAACAACAATCTGGCTTTTAGCAGGAATACTTATAACTAAAACTGACAGTATAAACTTACTACCTTTAGCTACAGGCAAGACATGCTGCCTTAATCCCTCTTGTCCAAATCTGTCTGTGCTGGTGCTCCAAATTCTCAAAACAGCCACACACATTTCACACAAATAAAGGGGTAAATATGACATGTATCAGTGTGCTTATGTAACACAATACAATTTTTTTTTTGGTATGACCACCTACTGCTTCCAGTAAACACTAATTACAAATTCTTTTACGCATTCTTTTCAACTTCTACTCTGGATGTCCGTGACAGACTGCAAACCCCACAGGATAGTCATATGTACGTCTCCACACATCCCCTTCCCACGTACTGTAAAACATATTTTAACTGGCATCACGGGCAAATCTTCAACAGGTTACTATTTATCCACAACTGATTTCAAGACTCACTTCTCTGTAAGAAGACTACAATCACACAATAGCTGCAGGGCACTATGAAACATGCATCTGTACCCATGGGCTGCCAACACAGCAGCGGAAGTCAGTCGAAATTTAAGGGCCTAGTTATTAGAACTTGTGCTTCAGTTGCTTTGTGGAATGTGTGGGAAAACTGATTATTCTTAATTGCACTGTATGTCTAAAAAGCTAAAACAATAATCATGCCATCCTTACACAACAAAAATGGTATCATAAAAAATGCAGCAATGTCTTTTTCCATAAAGCTTAGCTCAAATGTCTTCGGCTGCTATTCTAAGCTTCCCATCACAAAACAGCTGATTATTTGCCAGTCATTGCTGCTGATAAAGCATAAACTTGTAAATGCTATTAGCACAGTATTGATGCCAACATTTAAGGGTGATAACAATCGTTTTATTCATCATCCATAAATGTACACACACTCCAGGTTACCACAGGTTACTGTCTGGTCTCAGAAAGCTTCGCAATCTTACTATACAAAGGAGAGTCAGGGCAAAGTGCAGACAGACTTTAATGAGATTTTGTTTTGATAAACTGCTGTCCATCACATTGAATCATTTCACATTAGTGCAATAAAAGGCACTACACATACAAAGTAAAAGTCTTTTTTCCCTTCCCCTTTCTCTGAAGAATTAGGTCTTCCAATAAGTTTCTTGACAGCATGAGCATGATTTAAACTACTACCCACATGTGACATCCTGAGCACTAATGCATATACTTGGTGAAGACAAGAAACATAAAAATTGATGAAAACTACACAAAAAATTACTTCACATCTTACTCGCAGAAAAAGCAGAGACAGACTCTGAAGCACCCAAAGGCATAGCTTTTCAGCATGGTCTGAGAGGCTTAGCGGTTTCTAATTAATTCACACTGAAAGATACATAGTACATTACATTAACACATGCACGCTGAAAGCCAGATCTCAAGATTCAGCGTACGTGGATCAACATCTCCCACTGACTAACGGATGTTACAGGACCTCGTTAAGACCCAGCACTTTTCTGAATCTGATCCTAGAACACTGTATACCTGAGGTACTTTGTGTGTCAAAATCATTTTAACCTCTTCAAACACCTAGAACATAAACTCTGTCCATCTTCAAAAATGTTCCGAATAGTTCCCAATTACTTCTCAATCATGCTATATAGATTATATGGTCAAGATGCAGGACAAATTTAACCGTAGTTCATTGTCAGAGCAAATGAAGATTTACTGAGATAATCTGAGGCCAAACTAGCCAGCCATTGTTCTGCTCTATGTCAACAGTCTTCCAAAATTTTTCAGTTTTAGTGGTTTAAATGAAAGACTCTGTCAACCTCTTGTATTTATTGCCCACTTCATGAATTTTAAGCCAATAAATGTTATGACAATCATCACTCATAAGTAAGTATCTTTGCAAACGTTTCATATGCATGTTGATTCCTCAAACAAAATTGTAAAAAAAAAAAAAAAACAGAAACATGTCCAAAGACATGCCAATTCCAATAAAATGATCAAAAGTCCTAGTCATTTTCCAATATCTGAATCACATCCATACCAAAACACAGAAATCAAAGCAACCAGAACATCTGCCGCTGCATATGTACGGTGATTCTTTTCACTCTTATATAACTCATAGGCATGTTCTCCCAAGGGTATCACGTATTCTGAAAGTGAGGAAAAGGAAAAAAACCATGGTACATTCTGCTGTTTGGGGAAGAAGCAGCAAAATTCCTTTCTCTAGCTACTCCTGGAGAAGAAGGATTAATGCACTGCGTAGTTGCGTTATCACAAAATCACAGAATAATTGAAGTTGAAAGGGGCATCTGGAGATGGCCTACTCCAATCACCCTGCTCAAAATGGCAAAACTACAGCAGGTTGCTCAGGGATGCGTCCAGTTTGGTCTTGAATATCTCCAAGGATGGAAACTCGACAACCTCTCTGGGCAACCTGTTCAGCATTTGACCACCTTCACAGTAAAAAAGTTTAATCTTATGTTTAAGTGGAATCTCCTGTATTCCAATTCGTGCCCATTGCCTCTTGACCTTTCATTGGATACTGCTGAGAAGAGTCTGGCTCCATCTTCTTTACACCCTCCTTTCAGTTATTTACACACGTTGATAGGATCCTCTGAGCCTTCCTTTCTCCAGGCTGAACAGTTCCAGCTCCCTCAGCCTCTTCTCATCTGAAAGGTGCTCTTACTCATCTTTGTCACCTTTTGCTGACATCCAGCAGCGGTTTCATGTCTTTTTTGCACTGGGGAGCCCAGGACTGGACCCAGCACTCCAGCTGTGGCCTCACCAGGCCTGAGCAGAGGGGAAGGGTCACCTCCTTCCACCCACTGGCAACACTGTTCCTAATGCAGCCCAAAATACTGTTGGCTTTTGCCACAAGGGCACACTACTGGCTCATGTTCAATTTGTTGTCCACCAGGACTGCCAGGTCCTTCTCTGCTAAGCTATTTTCAGCCAGTCAGGCCCCAGCCTGTACTGGTGCATGAGGTTGTTCCCTGCCATGGCACAGGACTTCGCATTTCCCTTTGATGAATTTCATGAGATTCCTCTCTGCCCATCCCTCCACCCTGCTGAGGTCCCACTGAACGGCAGCACAACCATCTAGTACAACAGCCAC